GTCGACGTTTGTTGTCTGGTAAAGTGGTGTTCATAACGCTTGAATTAACTCGAGCATTTCTAAGTAAGCAACAGAGGGGTGAAGCAAATAAATGTTTCCGCACATTTCTGTAAAACTATGAAACTTTATTATCAACGCGCCATCAAGCTTTAAATGAGACAACCGAAAGCGCCAGGCAACATTTCAAGATAAATATGAAAATATAAAAATAAAAAGAGTATTTTTTAATAAATTAAATATATTTTGTCACATTCACACAAAATATATTCTTTTATTTTCTTGTTTTTTTTTATTTGTTAACAAATATGTGTATGTAACTAGTAATTTTCGTCAAACACTATTATCCACAATTTTTATTTTAATATGTGGTAGGTATTTAATTTCGCAATACCGCAATGTACAGGGTGTTCGCAAATTTCACCGATAACAACGTTTAACTGCATATTCACGACGATAAATAAACACGATATACGAAAAAAATACGACCACTGCAAAAGTTTTGACCGCTAAAAAGGAGAGGTAACCGGAGAAAACTACCACCCAGCATATCGATTTGACTAAAGCTTTAAGAAATAATACGCCATAATAGTCCACATAAATGTGGCAAATTTTAACGCGATCGGTAAAAGGGTTATGAAGTTATTAATTAAATTAGTTTTATTTTTAACAACTTTGAAGGGTTGTAATTCAAAAACCAAAAAGTTTTTATCTAACTTTTTTTTTCGTAGATCCTATTTATTTATCGTCGTGAATATGTAGTCAAACGTTGTCGGTGAAATTTGCCCTGTATTTGACGTGTAAAAGCAACCCACAACGCCTCCACCTTCAATATACAGTGTGTTCACAGATGGAGTTACAAAGAGGAAAACATTTTTATTACTCATTTTATGTAAAATTAAAACAATTGTTAAAAATTGCTATTTTTGCTCAAATGTAAAAAAATGTTGCACTGTAAAGAAATAATTAGATACAGGGTGTCCCAAAATTCATGCAACAAAATTTGGTCATAGATTCTTAAAACAAATTTAGGGGACCCGTATTTTTTCTTTTTGCCAACTGGCCCCCTCTTTCGGAGTTACTGCCCCCTGAATTTTGCCCCTAAGAAGTTTTTTTTTATATCTCAAAACCATGTTGTACGAGAATCACTAAATTTGGTACACAGGGGTTTTATGACATGTGGAGTCTCACAGTGCTACCATTTTTGGCGGGGAACCCCCTTAAGACACTTTTTCGTGGACCCCCTTGTCTTTGGAACCAGAAAAATTTGGTCGCAAAGATTTTTTTTTAAATTATTAGTTAGCTAGAAAGCCATTGAATTTAGAAACTTTTTTGTCTCTTGATATTTGTTTCGTAAAACGCAATGTTTTTGAGAAAAATAGAGAATCACAATATGCATTCGATCACATTTTGACATTTTTTTCGAAAACATTGCGTTTTACGAAAAAAGTATAAAGAGACAGAAAGTTTCTAACTTTAATGGCTTTCTAGTGGACTATAATTTTTAAGAAATTTAAATGTGCGACCAAATTTTTTAGGCTCCAAAGACAAGGGGGCCCACGAAAAAGTGTCTTAAGGGGATTAGGGGATCTTAAGGATTCCACATGTCATAAAAACCCCTGTGTAGCAAATTTAGTGATTCTCGTACAACAGGGTTCTGAGATATAAAAAAAAGATTATTCTTAGGGACGGACTTCAGGGGGCTGTAACTCCGAAAAAGGGGGCCACTTGGCAAAAAGAAAAAATACGGGTCCCCTAAATTTATCTTAAGAATCTGTGACCAAATTTTGTTGCATGAATTTCGGGACACCCTGTATATTAAATTATATATCACTGATTTTATCCTCAAAACTCAATAATACATTATATCAATTAAGAAACACAAAAAGAACCTTTCTTTTTCCAGCAGTACCCAATATGTACAGGGTGTCCTCATATCGTTTCAACTGATAGACAAAAACTATTTAAGCTGAAATTTTGGCATTTTGTATGTCTAATCAGTAATTTGTTGCACATTTTTATATTTCAAAAATTCAGTAGGGTCAAGTGTCAAAATATTTTATTGAGAAAAGTTATTCACAATTATTAAAATGTATGTCAATACAAAAAGTTTTAAGACAATCAGACTACTTCAATAATAATTTTTTATTTGATCAATAAATTACAAAATTAAAACCGATTACCTGAAAATCAGGAACATTAACTTTATTTCTAAAGAACTTCTAAAAAAATTGTTTCCAATGTCTTGTAAAATAAGGGCTTTCAACTATACAGAATGGAGAAATTTAGAAATAGTTCAAAGACATGGAAATCGGTTTTAATTCCCAGCAAGCTTTCGTAACAAATTTTTTTGATATACACATTGTACGAAAAAGTTAGTCCACAGATTTTTTTTTATTCTTAACAAGGCATATTTAACTTTGAGAAATAAAAATATGTTATAGATTATATATTACCCAAGCATAATCATTACCTAATAGGCATCCCCTATATCCCTCCCAAATAGCAATACTTCAGCTTGCACAATAGCCAAAAAACAGGCAATTAGGCTGTCGAAAAGCAACTGTTTTTGAAACAATTGAAATATCTCGAATACAATTAGAGATGGATATAGGGAAGCTTGATAAAAGTCCCGCTAGAATTACTCGTAGAATCCAAATATTAAAAAATATACAGGGTGTTCCATTTAAAATACACAAGTAGATGGCGACTTCCGGTATAACAGGAAGTGCTACAACAATGGCATTATTTTATTTAAAGAGCACCTCCAAAATATTTTAATGGGCCATCACTCTAAGACAGCAGGTGTATTGTCACATTGCACATACAGGGTGGGCCATTAGTGTGAGAAAGTAAAATAACTCCCTGGTTATTCATAATACAGAAATAAAATTTATATAAAAGTTGTACAGAATCAAGAAACCTAAACTACAAAATTAATTTGAAACATACAGGGCGATGAGTAAAAAACGGGACACGCCAAAGATTACATTTTTTTAAATGGAACACCCTGTATATTTTTAAACATATGGATTTCCGAGAAAATTCTATATATGGCAATATAAACAGTTTATCGTTTTAGTGCGAGGTTGCCAAGTTATGTAGAACATTCTTCGAATTTTGAAAAAAACATGACTTCGAAGAAGTTGTATTAACTTTCAGCTACTAACACTTGGAGCAAATATATTTGATAGAGGTACAGGCAAATGTTAGACAAAGGTTCCTATATTAGCTAATATCGATATTTTATACAGGGCATTTTTTATAATACGATCATTTTTAAAAAGTTTAAAATTGATTTTCTAAAATTTTTCAAAAGGAACACTCTGTATTTTATTGTTCTATTTTATTCACATATCGGTCCACTTCAACTTTTATTAAGCATGTTCTATATATAAAATTCTTAGTTTTTAAGATATAGCAACATTGCTGAAAAAACTTAATTTTTATTATTTTATAGAATACCACAAATAAATATTTAATAATAAAATTAACTCAAAATGGAATGAACTCACAAGTTGACACAATGTGATAGTTTTTTCCAAAGCCATTTCGTGCGACCGAAAATAATAAAAATTAAGTTTTCCAGAAATGTTGCTATATCTTAAAAACTAACAACTTTAGGTGTAAAGCATACTTAATAAAAGTTGAAGTGTACTGATGTGTGAATAAAATAGAACAATAAAATACAGTTGTTCCATTTGAAAAATTTTAGAAAATCAAGTTTGAACTTTCTAAAAATGATCGTATTATAAAAGATGTCCTGTATAAAATATCGAAATCAACTAATATAGGAGTCTTCGCCTAACATTTGCCTGTACCTCTGTCAAATATTTTTGCTCCAAGTGTTAGTAGTTGAAAGTTAATGCAACTTCTTCGAGGTCATGTTTTTTCCAAAATTCGAAGAATGTTCTACATAACTTGGCAACCTCGCACTCAAATGGTAAACTGTTTATATTGCCATCTATAGAATTTTCTCGGAAGTCCATATGTTTAAAAATATACAGGGTGTTCCAATTAGAAAATGTAATATTTGGCGTGTCCCGTTTTTACTCATCGCCCTGTATGTTTCAAATGAATTTTATCCTTTCGGTTTTTTGATTCTGTACAACTTTTATATAAACTTTTTTTCTATATTATCAATAACAAGGGAGTTATTTTACTATCTCACACTAATGGCCCACCTTGTATACATATGTTGAAAATGGATTGGTTATATGTTTCTTAACTGGCATAATGTATTATTTACTTGTGAGGATAAAATCAACGTTGTCCTATTTAAAAAAATCATTTTTCTACATTCAAACAATTTTAAGACTTTTCCTTCAGTTTAACTTCATTAGTACGAAAAGCAACTTTATACGGAATAAGCTTTTAAATGATCGCCAAGACGGGACAATTTTTATTTTATGGAGTCGCATTTTGACATCAGTTCAGTTCCACAACCATATTCATCATCTTGTCACAGTTTTTTAAAGTAACTGGTTGGTGACAACTAAGAAACTGCTAAGTCACATTATTATGGTAAAGGATAGCAATATATGTCGTTCTTTTTCTATCCTAATTTCCATTTGTTACTTTAAGTTCTAATATTTTTATTTTACAACATGTTCAAGACAATCGACGAAAGAGTTGAACAGTTAAAAAGATTTGTCTAAATCATACAATAAATGAGCAATAATGTATCTATAACATCCATTTCGACTTTAATATCTGTATTAGTTGGATTATTCCAGCAAAAAATATATCTGGAAAAATATTGTAATAACTTTTTTACCAAATATTTTTATTTTGAATCTCTTTTTCCTATTTATTTTCCGAATTGTTGTCAAAATGCGCCCCCTTGAAAATAAAAACTAACCTATCCCGGTGATCTTAAAAAATGTCACCCTGTACACAAGGAAGTGTCAAGTTTTCTTTGGAACACACTGTACGTTAGCAAATAAACGCCCACCGAGTAATCCCAACGGCCCAAAACAAGGTGACAATAGTTAGTAGAATTGTTAGTAAAACCCTGAAACTGCAACGGGGGTCGTACCCATTTTCTTCAACAGCCAGTCCTCGGGAAAGGGGCAGTAGGATCCCGTGGGATCGACGTCTCCCAACCGGGGCAGCTTGCTGGGTCGTCCGAACTTGCTCCTCCACCTCGACGCTGCCAGTTGACCTTTAATCATTTCATTACAGTATCTTATCTGAATCGTTTAACAGTCAGGTAGGATGATAAGTCGTATGCGACCTTCGTGGGAACGCAGGTGTTATGAAATGATTGTCGTTTGTGATCGGAAAGGTGAATAAGTTTTAGGCAGTAGTTACAATTGTTGCGAATTAGTATGAAAATATTTTCCTGTACTTCCATAAAAAATCTATCTTATTGAATTCAACACTTCATGTCTACTTTTATGTTTCTAGTAGAAAGAAATATACAGGGTAAAAATCTTCTAATCTATCAGGAGCATATAGAGGTCATAATAATAAATAAACTTTCTTTTTTTCCCTAAACTTTCTTCTAACAGAAATGATGAATTCCCAAAGGAACACCTAGAGATTTACGTTTTGGGTTCTAACTTTCAAATCACCCTGTATATTTTGATAAAACTTTGGCATAGTACATTACAGATAAAGCTCGATGATTTTATGTTAAGACCGGTTTTTTTACTGTGACAAGGTATGCAGAAACTAGCCCTACTACATAGTTTTTCAAAATTTTGGCAAATGGTCATAATTTATGTGAAACAAGTTAACCAAACATTAACATGAAAAAAAAACGGTAAATACTACGACAAGTGTTCAAAATCGGCTCCCCGCATACTTCTTTATCTATGAGTATTTTCTTGAAATAACATTCCAGGATTGTTACGAATCTGATTACCGTTCTGGGTTATTCTCAGGAAACCTTTTTCCTAGTACCTATTTACGACTGTTAAATAAATTAGATGTTTTGGATAACCCCTTAGAAGAAAAATCTGAAGGATTTAGGTCGGGTGACCTTGGTGTCCGTAAAGCAGGCCCACCTCGATCTACCTATTGACCATTCACAGCGTTTGATAAATACTGAAGTACAAACCGCTTTTTGTTGAAGGAAAAATATAGTAAGTATCTAAAAGTAATATTTTCAATTCGATAACAAACACCTGTCAAAATTTTGAACAAATATATGATAGGTCTAGTCCGTTTCTGGATACCTTGTAGAATAATAAACGACCGGTTACGGTTACACATAATTTTATCAAAATATACAAGGCGATTTTAAAATTAGAACCCAAAACCTAAATAAAGATATTAGTAGAGTTATTTTTATCTTCCACATACGCTTCTGAGGGATTAGTAGATAGTTACCGGACACCCTGTATATTGTGCAAACAGTTACTAAAACATATTTTACCACTATGCCGTATTTTAATTTAAGATTATTTATAAAAAGAAATACATATATTATGACAGATTTGTAATTTAAAAAAAGGCTGTTACAGATTATTTAAAAGGTACGGTAACTATAAGCATGGAAAATTATGAAAATTTCTTAATAAACATTTGATTTAGTTCACGGAGGAAATAGCCTGGCGAATTTCTAAAATAAAATTTGAAATTTCTTAATTATTTTAGTGTCGAAATCGGGAAATTCGAATGTAATATCGATGTTTTTTGTATCACCTTGTATAGCTTCTTGAGATAACAGTCTTTTGTCTACAAATAAAACTCGTAGATTTTAGTAGGAGGTACTGTTTTCGAGATAATTGCAATTGTTAATATCTGTGCAGTGTCACTAATGCACAAATTAATTAATAGGCATTGAATATTGAATGACAAATTGTTTAATTGTTTCGCATAACTGTATAAAAAAATTAATTATTCTACATTCGATGAATATGTAATTTATTTTGAGGTTAAACTGGTGGAAATGTTTGTTAAACTGCGTTTATAAAAAAACTGTCATTTATTTGAAACATTTTGTCATCCACATCGAAAATTAAAGAGATTTTATTTGTCGATAAGAGAAAATTATTATGAAAAATTGTACAAACCGATTAAAAAAATTACTTGCAAGTTTCAACTTTTTATTTTAAACTATTTCGAAATTATATTAAAAAATTTCATATTTAATCGTAGAAAGCCTTTCATAATGTTCCATGGTTATTACCGCAGTATGCTTTGTGACATACAATTACTGACCACTCTGTATACGTTCAAATATCAATCCATTTTTTTTATCAATAAAGTTATTATTATTTTTTATAGTTTTGAAGATACAATTAATCTAGGGTTATACAAGAATATATTTACATTTAGACTGAACTACTATTTAATTGAACATTCTTATTATACAATTATTTCAGTAACTAAACTGTACCGATTATTGTTAATAACCATTTTTGAAGACATATATTTTGTGTCCATCTTTTTTATTCAACTTAGAGGTATATGGGCGACGATTTTATCCTAAGATACATTACACTTTCACAGGAACACTTAAAATCATAGATGGTATAACATTTTCCTGAATTAAAAATATGAGTCACACAATCTCAGGAGTAAATTTCCTGCCATAAATTCAGAACGTGCATTTCCTGCTGTTTCCACTGGGAAATTCTCTCAAACTAGTAGGAATTTGATATTTTATGTAAAAATCTAGATACAATGGTTTACAAAAAAACTTAGTGTCAGGGTGGAAATATTTCTATCGTCGTCAACCTAAAATGAATATTTATACGCTTCAAAAAATATTGAAGTTATTTGTTACATTTATTTATTATGTGGCTTTTACGTCTTTATTGTATAGTTCTGTCACATATACAGACGTGATAAATGTTGTTCTTACTTCTTAGTAGGTATCATATGGCGTGAAAATCTCTTATTTGTTGGCACTTGTTAGCTGCAAAATGTTAGTGATTTGTGCTATGCAGACATTCGAATTTAACAATGTTTGTGTTCTATATCAGATTGGACTACTTTCTTTCTTTATTTATATGTGTTGTGTTTGCAACTTTAATCAATGTAATCACTGATTAAATAAAATATACAGGCTGTTACAAATTCGCTTCTCACTACATCAAAAACGGTAAGAGATACGAACTAACAATTGTAACAGCAATTTGAAGTTATTAGAGGGACCTAACACTCCAGTTTCCGAAACTAAAATAAATTTCTTCATTTCGGAGATATTGGCAGCGGGAGTGTTAAATGGCACACATATAACGAGCGTTCCAATAAAAACGTGGTCAAGTTGGTTCTGAAAATTTGGACGTAGGGTGTAGCGTATAGCAAATGAACATAAACGTCATCTGTCAAAGCGCTATATCGCCGCTATCAATTTGAATATTTTCGTTTTAAAAAGCGTTTAAAATGGTGTTTTCTCAAGAACAAAAAGTGTTTATCATAGAGTCCTACTTTAGAAATGGACGCAAGATTGATGGAATATGGAAGTATTCTATTGAGGAATGTTTCATAGAATTTCAAAATCAATTTCCCGGCGTTGTTGAGTACAAAATTTTTCAAAGTGCAGTTCAGCGTTGTGTTCATGTTTTTCGTGAAACGGGCAGTGTAACAAGAAAAGAAGGAAGCGGCCGACCTAAAAAGCGGACTGAAGAATTAAAAGAAAATGTCCAACAAATAATGGAAAATGCGCCAAGAACTTCTGTACGTGTTTTATCACAAATGGTGGGAGTATCAGTCGGTACCTGCCACACAGTGTTAAAAAAAGATTTGCGTTTGTTCTCCTATCGTTTAACTTGTCAGCAAGAACTTCATGAAGTTTATTTTCCGCGACGGGCAGTATTTTGTGAATGGTTTTTAAACAACTACGGTGAACTTCATAATATCACCTTTTTTTCTGATGAAGCCTGGTTTCATTTAAGTGGTTATGTAAACTCACAGAATATGAGAATGTGGTCTTCTGAAAAACCAGATAACTTTTTTGTTGAGGGCCCTCTACACGCTCAAAAAATTGGAGTTTGGTGTGCTCTCAATCGAAGGAGGATTTATGGGCCTATTTTTTTTTAATGGTACTCTTACTGCGCAAAGGTATAGAGAAGAAATTATCGCTCCTTTTGTTAACCAGCTGGAAGAAAACGAAATTACAAACTTTTACTTTCAACAAGATGGCGCAAGGGCACATACGGCAGGCGAGACGATGAATATGTTGAGGGAAGTTTTCCAAATTCGACTAATAAGTCTCAATGCTGAACATGAATTTCCACCGAGGTCATGTGATATTACGCCGTGTGATTTCTTTTTGTGGCCTTACCTTAAAAACACTATTTTTGAACTGCCTATTCCTGATTTAAACCATCTGCAGGCTCGACTTATAGACAAAATTCGTGAAAATAACAATACCCCGAGCATCTTAGAAAATGTCTTAAATTCTTTGAGGAACAGGTGTGAAAAGTGCTTGGAACAAGGAGGGGGACACTTTCCGCAGCTCCTTTAATTGTTTGTTATTGTTATCACGATTATTCTTTAAAGTAACGTTATATTAGTCATTAACGTTATTGAAACTGACAGCTGCTATACAGCTCGTTGTGAAATGAGGTTAAGTTGGTCGCTATAAGCTACTCCCTACGTCCAATGTGTCAGAGCCAACTTCGACCACGTTTTTATTTGAACGCTCGTTACTTACATAAAATCCTCTAATCTGTACTATAAAGATATTCCATTAATATTCATTAATTTGGTCCTGTTTTGTGTAGAAATCGATAAATTGGAAAAGTCAAAAGGACCTTCGCTTAACCGCTTTGATGTAGTAAACCATTAAAGCATGCAAAAACGTATAATCAGCAAATGTGAAGGTTGCACCTTATTGGATAGCGTTGCTGGTTACATTAAAGAAAGCTTCCTCCTTTACAACATCCTTAAAATAGCCCCAAGGAATAAATAAAGTGATGCGAGATACAGTCTGTAAGACTTTTAAGATTAGATTATTCTCTAGATGTAAAGCTTGTGAAATTGTCTAAGGGAAAACGCGATTTTCGAAAGGTAGAATTCTGGTACACTGATAGTGTTAAGATTACCTGAAGGTATTAGGGTTTTTCCGTAATCCAACTCTGCCTGGGTACTTTCCCCTTTATTACTATTTATAAGGAATAATATTAAATGTAAATTAAATAATCCTACTTATCTTAATTTAATTTACATTTAATGTTATAGGAATAACATTAAATGTAAATTAAA